AAAAAATCCAAAAGCACATATATGGTCACGGTCACGGATACTCTCCACAAGATGCTCTCCAACAGATGCTTCGACACATCATAGCCAAGTCCGATTCGGGTGCCTCCGAAGGCCTTCTACAAGATGCTCCCATCGGGAGGTGTCCAGGCTCCGTGCTTGGCCTCCATGATCGGTCGCTGTGAAACCAGGAAAGCACGCCCTTTTGAAAGTGGTGTGAGAATCCTCTTTTACCTCATGGACAAGGTCTTCCCAATCTCCAAAAATTGAAGAAGGCAAAACAAACATCAAGGTGGAAAAGAACAACACTAAACTCACTGAACAGACACTTTCGATTAACTGCTGGATTCAAACCGACTCCCTCAAACTACAGCCGAACTTTGTTGCTGCCTTCTTTCAGCTGCCGCTCCAACAAGTTCAAACGACGCTCCATGGTAGCAGTGTTTTCTTCCCAAAGGGTCTTCAGCTTTTGACCTCGGATTGTCTTCTGAAGACCCGACCAGCAAGGTAGGTCAGATAGGGAGAATTTGTGGTCAAATAGAACCCTATCAGCTTTGACAATTTGCCCACCAACATCCTACTGATGCTGGCCAAACTGTGTGTAATCCTTTTGTCCGCATCCAGGACAACAAGCGCAGAACACACTACTAGTAACAAGGGCATCGCTACTAGTAACAAGGGCATTACTACTAGCAACAAGGGTGTATCACAAGCCTCAGATCTCTGAGTTTCTAGCTCTCTGGCGCTTTCTCATGCAGCAGCCTGGTTTTTTCCCCGGAATTCTTGGAGGATGAGTTGCCAGTGCCTGTGAGAGACTCTAACATGCTTACAATGAGCTCTTGCGGCTGATCTTCTCTCAACATTTCAATGATATGAAACATCGTCAAGTCAATGGAAGCATGGAACAAGTCCTTTTATTGTTTGTGTAACAACCTGTCATACGCCCCTGCTGTCAAGCGATCGTCTAAATTCCGGAGGACTTACCAGCGGCATTCTCGAGAGTGGAGACCATGTCTCCACAAAGTCATGGATGGTCATCCCAATCATTTAAAATTTAGACCCAAAAGGTGTTGACCCGAACTGAAGAAACATCGCTGAACTGAAGAAAGCCGAACACGAGTTTTGCTTCGAAAGGGACTTCGGGAACTCCACTGGCCTCTCGAGTCCTGCGAATCGATCAAGGAAACCTGGCAATGGGTCAGCGGGGCGCAAGGCACGATGCAATGAAGACCCGAGTGACTTCAAATAATGAATGTAAAAGAGCAGAAAGAGAACAGAAAAAGAAGGTGAGGGGAAGGGCATCTTTGAGAAGGATCTTTTTCAATTTTTATTAGTAGAGCGCCTGATCCGGGTGAATTCGGAACCCAGCGGGTCAGAAACTTCGGAGAATCGTTGCAAAACCTACAGCGAACTAGGAGCAAAGGGCATCGCTACTAGGAGCGTTCGGACGCTACTAGGGGCTCCTGGCCTTACTACTAGGAACAAGAGAACGCTACTAGGGGCTAAGAATCCGCTGCGAACTGGAGAAAGCTGAACCGAATGGAAATGAGCTGGCTCTTGGAGTTGGTTTGTGAAAGGAACTTGATCCGGTAGGGCTACCTTCGTAGCTTCCTTGCTCCTAGTAGTAAGGCCAGGAGCCCCTAGTAGCTTCCTTGCTCCTAGTAGCGATGCCCTTTGCTCCTAGTAGCGTCCGATCGCTCCTAGTCGGTTTCAAGGAAGACTTCCGCGTCACGGAGTCGGAGCCTGAGTAGTTCTCACCTGTCAGTTTGCTGAAATGGTCATTCCTCGGCCGCGGGTTGCCACCGAGATCGGTTCTGGTCGCCGATCGGCGAGTTTGTACAAGTTCGTTTACACTCAGCTCGGTTCCAGTTCTTTATGACAGACATTTTTGGAGCGGCACGGGTGGCTTGCAGACCAACCCAAGTTCCCTCTGCTCCAAGAAGTGCCAAGATGCGACTTGTCCACTATATAGAGGAAGAGACAGACAGTTCTCACCTTTCTAACCTCTAATCTTGCAACTCTAAGTTGGTGCCAACCCTAGTCCAAAAAAATCCAAAAATATGTTGTTTCCATTCTCAGCTGGTGTGCCTCCCTCAATTGAACTAAGCAGCTGCTGGCTGATCATCTTCCTCATCTCATCCCGGGCATCGACCAAAGAGGTCGAGTACCTTTTGCAGAGCTACTCACAACTGTGTCACAACTCCCACAAATAAAAACTGTCTACTATGCGTTCAGAGTCGTACAAAACTGCTGGTTTCTCAACTCAGAACAGACAGAAGCTGAGAGGCCAGGTTCGTTTAAGCACAGGAGTAGCATGGAGTAGCTGCATCCTTTCTGGAAGATGTCTTCCTTCTTCTGGGCATCCCCACTGCGTGAGCTCGGCTTTCAACTGGTCCACCCGGCGCTCACAGTTTGCCTAAAGCCATCTGTCTAAGCACTGCCTAGAGAAACAGCCTTCAAAGCAAGAAAGGGTGCGCCCAGGTGGCTGGGACCTCATTTGGTGGAGCCAAAAATGTCACTTGACTGCGGAAGACCACGGCCAACTCTTAAAATGACAGCAAATGAAGTAAGTGCCGTTTGTCCCTCGTTGAAAACTTTCTGTGTGGTGAACATCTTCGAGATCCCACTGCCCCCCTCCAGCCTGGCGCTGCTCTGCAAGCTCCAGCTGAAAACCTCGACATGCGATGGCTGCAAGCTGTGATTTCCACGAACCCCACCTCCACTTTGTGTGGTGTCCATCTCAAACCGACATGAGCAGTGCCCTATAAACAGCTCACTTGGGGTTGCTAAAGATTGTTAGCTTTACAACTGTAGAATGTACCGTATTCTCCCAAGACCCACTAAACAGTTGCCCCAAGCAAACTCTTCAGAGGGCATGATTGAACACCACCAAGTCCCAAAACAAACAAGCTTCGCACTGCAGTGAATCCATGCTCTCTTGCACAACTCCACCTTGCTTGCTCTTTCCTCATCCTCCACAAGATTCCACAAGTTTAGAAAGATTATTGTTGATCTCAGAAACTGCTAGCCGCTGGTGTCGGCGCTGGAAGCGGCATCGCGTTGAGACGGTCCAAGTTCGAGGAGAGGCTTTGAAGCTGCTCCTGTCGAACTCCGTTGGGATTGGAATCAGGTAAGGAAACGAGCTACTTTTTTGCCAGAAACAAAAGGCATGAGGAAAAGGCGCAAGAATATCAAGGCCCATCGACAACACTTCTGTGCTAAGAAAGGGATGGAGATTGGTGGCTGGCAAGAAGAAGACTCTCAATATCTGCCCTTCCCCTACTGTTTCTGCTCTGAGTCTCCAACAAAAAGACTCATGCCCAAGCCTCCTTGATCGTGGAATAGATAGATAGATAGATAGATGGATGGATGGATGGATGGATGGATAGATAAATAGATAGATAGATAGATAAATGGATAGTAGACAAGTAACAAAAGTACCGGTTCCAGTCGCACGGCGCAAGAACCTCAGGCTACTCCGCATATCGGGTTCATCCATTACTGCGTCTGTGCCCAACGCTCCTGTAGCCGCCAGAAGTCCTCCGCTCATTTCAAGCATTGTGCGAACCGCGGGGACCCAAGCATGCTCATGTTGTAATTACCAATGCAAGTTCTGTTCACAAAGGGTGGGTGGTCACACTTGTCGCAACTGCGGTTCAGAATTTCACTCTCCCAGCTCACCAACATCACGCGGGCCTTCTGTTGATCTTCGAGTTGACAGATCCGTGGCGTCAAGGTCCAGAGATTCGTCAACTTCTCCTAATCGGATCGACACGCCAGCGACCAGCGATGGGATGGAACTCAGGTAGAACGAGAAAGTGTGTGTCACACTTGAGAGCAGAATGGAGTCAGCATCCCCAGCCTCAAAAATTGCCAGCTGCTCACAATTTCGTTCCTGGAACAAGGTCAAGCCAGCAATTCTGATTGTTACTAGCTGCAGGGACTGGTAGCTACTGGTGTCTGCTTTCATCTCTTTTAGCTGTTCTGGGTTCTGTCGGCCAAAGTCTAAAAGGCCAATGGTTCCACGGCCGCACTTCGCGAAGCACTAATTTCGGTTCTGTTAAGCTCATCGTTTTACACATGACTCACTCGCACTTGCTACTAGTAGCTTCTTGTTACTAGTAGTAATGCACTTAACTACTAGTGGCTTCTTGCTACTAGTAGCGATGCACCTTGCTACTAGTAGCTTCTTGCATCACTCCTATGCACCAGATTGCCCCAGTGTCCCCTCTTCACCTGTTGTGCCGAGATGACCGCCACTTGCTTTGCCCACAAGGATTCCTCCTTTGCGGCTGATGCACCTCCCCTCTGTGCCTACAGGGCCTATGGGGAGAACGGCTCTTGTCTTGCAGTCTAAGAGTCCTCCGGTGGTCTCCAACCTACTTTGCGATCGCCTAGGACAACCTAGGAGTCCTCCAGTGCCCACAAACTGGCTTTCACTAAAACACAAACAACTCTTTCGTGGCTGTCATGCTCCTGCCGTGGGGAGCGGCTGGGGCTCGATTTCCGGCTTTGGGCCTCCGAGCTCAGTCGGACCTAAACCAAAACATAAACCTAATAGCGATGGCCTCCAACCTAAGAGCAATGGCCAAAGACACAATTGTGGGAGAATTTCATCACACTACAGATGTTGTCCAACAATCTCCAATCTTCTTGATCCACTGTTTTGAACTAGGGGTGCGGTGTCCTGTAGATGTTTCTCGTGTATATCAACTCCATCAGAGCTCCAAGTCCTACAATGTAGTCTAGAGTCAAAAATGTAAGTTGTGGAGTTCCCTTATCCTCTGTGGCCAAGCACCGCCAAGCTAAAGAAGGCAAAAAACACTGTGGCTGCCTGCAAGCGCCCTTCCAGTTGAGCCATGCGCTCTTCCACTGAAGATGAGGCCTCCAAAAGCGCACTTATATTAAAGGACTCATGTTTGAACTAGAGGGCGATTGCTGGTGAATAGCCTTCAAGCTAAAGAAGAGAAAGGCCCTTTTCGGGATCATTTTAAGTCTTCCCAACACCGAGTTTGGTCTCTATCAATCGCATACCTCCGAAGGATTCTGGAGAACTTGCACAACTTGCTCTTGGCGTGTGGCGAAAAACATCGAAACACACCGCGCCTCACCCTGCTGCCAGTTCGAAAGCTTGGAGACCTTCTCCCTGCGTAAAGAAAGGAAAGAAACGCGGTCAGGCATAAAGATCCCCGGCGTAAAATGGTCGTGTCTTAAGCGCAAGCCAGGCAAAGTAAGCTATGCAAGTTTAAGGCAACAAACAACTCCTTCGACTCCTTTGTCTGCTTTACTCAACCATACTCAAACTGTCTTCCAAAAAAACACGTCTTAGACCGAAGAAAAAGCCGAGGGCCTCAGATGTAAAAGCTGCGCCACCTGCAGCTTCATGGAGCGCACCTGAAAACAAGCGTCTTCCAAGCTTTCGAAGTGGCTTGGCGCCCAAATTCAGATATTTCATCTACAAATGTCTACCCCTTTGCACCTGCTCTTCCAAGCCGGTGACTCGCAAGCCCGCGTTCCTCAAAGGTCGGTCTCAAGCCACAAGGCGCACTACCGATTACAGGAGCCCCGTTCGTAGCGTCCTCTTGTTCCTAGTAGCGATGCCAGGAGCCCCTAGTAGCGAACATTGTTACTACTAGTAAGGCACCTGTTACTACTAGCGTGGCACTTGTT